TTTTTTTCTGGAACTGGGGATTGAACCGAGGCCCTTGGCTTGCAGGCAAGCACTTATTCTACTGAGCTATCTCCCTGGCATGCTCCCCCATACGTTTTAAGTTAGGAGGTGAAGAGACATAGGAGATGAGACTATTATGCAAAAACTTAATGTCTACCATAGTCCATTCCTTCTGCCAATAATCTTTTAAACAAACAACAAAATTACATCCCTGCTGAACATAACAATTTCCTCCTTAAAATGAAAACATGTTCATCTTACTCCTTAAGTCTTGGTTCCCATTATTACACGATGAGACCATTTTTCCTCTCCTATTTTATTCACAATCTCCTTTAAGACTAAAAGGAGTGGGGTGATAGCTCCACAGAATAAGCACTTGCCTAGATGCAAGGACCCAGGTTCGGCCTCCCTCCCAAAACGGTGTGGTGGTGCACGCCTGTAATCCAGCACTGGGGAGGCTGAGACTGGAGGATCACTAGGCATCTGAGCTGTGTAGCAAGACCCTATACCAAACAAATAATTAAAGAAAGAAAGAAAGAATTTTTTTAAAAAAGAAAAAATATAAGATTTTTTTTAAAAAAGACTAACTTAAAGATTATTTTATAAAAATTAACCAACTACCATTGCTACATAAAAAGAAACAATGAAAAGAAATTCATTTGTACATACAAAAGCAAAGCACAGGAGAAAAAATTTTCACAGCTTCTATGATTCTTTCTCTGTGATTGATCATAAACCCTATTGGAGTTTATTAACTTCCTTGTTCCACGTTCACTTTGCTCTCAGAGAGCTCTCTGCCTATCACACACAGTGATTCAAACTTTCAACCCCAATGGTATGTGCTTGTGTTAGACAGGAGTAAATTCCCACCAATATTTACTGCAAAGCATGGACTTGCCCTAAGGGACCCTTAGGTTGAAGATGTACTCCCCTGTGTAGCTAGGATACTATTTGCCTTTGCTAAGAAATATCAATAAACCCAGCGTCTTCTTATCTCCATGTTGGCTGAATGTCACTAGAAAACTACAAGGTCCAGATGCAGTCTCAGTTTCCCCTGGCAGGAATTCTGGGGAAATAGAGCCCAAGATCAAGGAATGAGAGGTACTTACTTCAGACTGTGTGTTCAGGTCGAATGGTGGGAGAAAACCCTTCCACTTCCACTACGCTACTTGGAAGCACAGTACTCCGACCTGCTATCCGTTCTTTCCCGAGGGCCTGTTACTGCGTCTTCCCATAAGGCTGCTGCTTTGGGGTTCATGATAAAACCACTAAATCCAGTGGTTCTCGGGGCACTACCTCCCTTCTTTTTCCTGTAAGTTGGTCCTCTTAGGGAAGGATACCATGAAGGTGAATGAGACACTGGGAATGTCCCACTAAAATGTGCTGATTGAGACAAGGCAGAAAGGAAAAAGCACACTGTGTAGGTATTTACTCCAAGGAGTAAGGGGAGTAACTCTCTTCCTCCAAAAAGGAAAACCAAATCCCTGCTCCCTCCAGGATAAAGACCCCCGTGAAACCTACCAACTGGCTGCCTGTCTCCCTTGAGGTGTCAAAAGATGCTTTCCACTGGCGGGTGGCGTGCGAGGTGCTCAGCAGCAAGTGCAGTTTGGCTAAGAGGTCCCTCTTGGTAAACTCCTATTCCTGCTAGCGCTTAGCCTCTGTCTTAAATGAGCACTGGAGTAGCCCAGAAAAGGCTGACCGAGAAGGCTTCATGCTCATCGCTTTCTGGGGAGAAAGCTCAGAAGAGGAAGACGTCTTTTGTGACAAGATTGATGTTCATGGGCCGGGACTTGAACTCCCTCTGCCACCTACAGAAGTGAGTCACTGCCTTACTCGGGTTACAAATTGGAGCGCCTCGGCGTGGGCCGGACCGTCCGAGGACCCCGCTCCCCGAGGCTGCGAGCAGGGTGGGCAGAGGCCCGGGTTCCCCGCGGGCTCGGGCTGCGCCCTCCCGCCCCCGCCCGCAGGAGCGCTCGGCTCCGACTCCCGACCTTGAACCCAGCGCGGGCCTGGGCCGCTGCGGCGAGAAAGCGCGGGTCAGCGCGGAAGGCGGAGTCCGCGGAGAAAACGAAACCGAGAGCGGAGGTGCAGGAAGCGCGGGACTGAGCACGCCGAGGCAGAGCGCGGCCCTCCCGCACACGGCCGGACGCGGTCCCCCGAGCTGCCGCCGCGGCCTGGCACGGTAGGCGCGCGGAGCCGCTCTCTTCCGAGCGTCGGCCCAGCAAGCGCTGAACGCCTCTCGGGGCGATCGGCGGGGCGGGAGGGTGACGGTGGGCGTGCAGCGGAAGGCAGGCGTGGCCAGAGTCTTCGCAGGCGGGCGGGAAAGCGGCGGCCCGGGGAACCCCTAATCGGCTGGAGCGCACCCCGGGATTAGAGACGTCCCCAGTCGCCGCCGCAGCCCCTCCGCCCCCCTCCTCGGCGCGCCCAGCATCCTGCTCTGCGCGGCTGTCGGACCCACCTCGGGCTCTGCAGCTCGCGAGGTCCCGCGCGTATCTACGGGCTCCCAGGCGAGCCGGTGCCTCTACCCTGGCCGAGGTGGCTTCCCATCGCCGTCCAGCCACTGGGCCCCGCACTGCCGGTTTCTATTTCTTTCTTTTCTTTTTAAAAATTTTATTAAGAAAAAAATTGCAATGAGACAGTTTCGATTTCCTGGAAAGCTCTTTTCCCAGAAGCCTGAGGGAGCAAGTCCCACTCCTGATCTTTTTCCCCCAGACGAGTCTGAGCAGCCTTGCCCCTACAACCTGTGTGTAACAGAAACCCCTTGCCTGCCCTCCCTGATCTTGTCTGTGCTCCACTACTATTTTTATGAGTTTGCCCAAATTTGACCACCAGTGAGTTCGCAACAGCAGAGTTTTGTTCGCTGATATAATCCCAGAGCCTATATAGGTGATCATTAAATATTTCCTACATGAGTGGTAATTTGTAAATACTCCTGGACTCCAGAAAAATGAAATTTCTTATTGCCTCTGTTTTCTGTGGTACTGAAAATGTTTTGCCAGATGTAAGAAAAAAAGAGATATTCTCTGCAGGCACTTGGGAACTTAAAATCTTGGGCAAGTGATGCTCTTGTTCCCTGCTTTGCTTATTTGAACCTGAACACTCGACTTGTAGTCTATCACCCTGCTAATTAGACACTAGTTGAATGCAGGCTGTATGGAAAGCAGTCACTGGAAAGGGCTCAGCTCCGTGGGGACCACTGTCTACTGGATGGGAGTGAGTAAGAGGAATAAGATTTGTTAGTGATTGTGATAGCGATTTTTTTTTATGTTTCCCAAACTTGTATGTTGAAGTCTTTTTTTTTTTTTTTCAGAATTTTACTGATAAACAGATAGCAATGAGACAGTTTCAAATCAAATCGGTAGTACAGTTTCAGTAGATAGCGATCTTTTAGGTGGATGAGGTCCACCCAAAGAGCCCACTGCTTAGTTTGCAGAGCAATCAAGTCTTGATTGGGTAGGCAGGACTGGCAGACCCACCAAGGAGGTCCTAGCTGCCCTCTAGCACCAAGGAAGACTGTGTTAACCCAGAGAAATGAATGGAAATTGCCCACTTGATAGAGGATGCAGATGCTACATGGGGCATTTAGATAAAAGCAGGTGAACACTCCTGAGATCAGGGATCTGTAAATATTTTGGTATTCATTCATTCATTCATTCATTCATTCATTATTGAGCCCTTTTTATAGTCTTGTTGCTTTCCTTCTTGCAATTTTTGGTCCGCTTGGAAACTAGTTAAATACCCAGTTGTAAAGAGGAAACAAGAGGTGTGAAAGCGCCTATGACTTGGAGCTGATAACTGGGCAGTAGAAGGTGACCAGGCAAAGGCAGCCGCAGGAAGTGGAATCAGAAACAGTTGGAAGGAGGTGATTAGGGAGGGGCTTTGAAAGGGAAGGAAAGATGAGAGGTGGGATGGGCTTTGGAGAACCATCACTGTTTAGGTCCACTTTCTAGCCACAAACCTGGAAATGGTCATCAGAGGAGAGTGGATGTGGGCCGGGGATACAGCTCAGTGGCACAGTGTCTGCCTGCAAGTGCAAGATCCTGAGTTGAGTTCCTGGTGCAAGGTCCTGAGTTGAGTTCCTGGTACCAATAAATAAATAAGTAAATAAAGTGGGTGTAAGTAGTGAAGAGATTTAAGGACTGGATCACTGTACTCTACAGTAGAAGAAAGGAAAATGTAGAGGAATCAGGAAAGAAGATAGAATAGTAACTTATGAGAAAGGATAAAAACCAGTAGAGTAGCTATTTTAGAAGTCTGAGCTTAGAAAGGGAGAAGAAAGAGAAGGAAATGGGCAACCAAGTGGTGGTTGCAGGCCAAGTGGAAAGGGACAAGAACTGACTACTGGATTTAGCAGTGGGACAGCCATTGGTAACCTTGACAACAGTTTGGGTGGCTTGCAAGGATGCCTAGTTGGATTGATGCCTTAAAAAGATCATAAGGTGGCCAGAAAGAAAGAAAGAAAGAAAGAAAGAAAGAAAGAAAGAAAGAAAGAAAGAAAGAAAGAAAGAAAGAAAGATTGCCTGGCAAGCACAGGGTCCTGAATTCAATCACCGGTACCACCAAAATAAATAAATGAAAGAAAGAAAGAAAGAAAGAAAGAAAGAAAGAAAGAAAGAAAGAAAGGAAAATAGATGTTGGTGAGAATATGGAGAAACTGGAACTCTTGTGCATTGCTGGTAGAAATGTTATTGTTACTTTATAACCAATTCAGCAGTTCCTTAAAAAGTTCAGCATAAAATTACTATACAATTTAGCTCTACTCCTAGGTATCTACCTAAAAGATTTCAAAGTAGTCACTTAAACAGACATTTCTATACCAGTGCCCACAGCGCCTTTGTTCACAACAGCCAAAAAGCTGAAATAACCTTTGTTCATCAGCTGATGAGTGGATAAACAAAATATGGTGTATAGAACCAATTGGATATTATTCAGCCTTAGAAATTCTGACATGGGCTGGGGAGCTAGCTCGGTGGTCTGAATGCCTGCCTGGCAAACTCAACGTCCTGAATTCAATCTCCAGCACCACAACATCACATGCTAGCCCTAAACCAGGTGTGGTGGCACATTCCTGTAATCCCAGTGCTAGGAAGGCTGAGATAGGAGAATTACAAGTCTAAGCTGTGTACTGAGACCCTGTACCAAAGAAAGAAAGAAAAAAGGGAAGGAAGGAAGGAAGGAAGGAAGGAAGGAAGGAAGGAAGGAAGGAAGGAAGGAAGGAAGGGAAAAGAGAAGGAAAGAACTTTAAAAACTTCATGATATCATAAACTTAATTTACATATATAGTAAACCTTGTTCTTAACATAAAATTACTAATTCTACTCTTGCACCCTTTTCTACCTTCCCAAGTATGTGGACAGATGGGACTTTGACACTCAGGAGAGAAGGACAGCAGAGAAAAGAGAAGGGTCTTTCTTTTTTCTTTGGCCACTTAATTTCTGGGACTAGAATGTTTTGGAGAAATTAGAGTGATTGGGCAGCTTATGCAGTAGGAAAATAAGGTTTTTGGTTTTGTTTTGTATTTTAGGGAAGGATTGACAGGATGTTCAGGGTCTCACTACTAGATCCGACTCACAGTGATCTGCCTGTTTACAACCTCCCAAGAGCTGGGATTATAGGCGCATGCCACCATGCTCATTGCTGTCTCAGTGTGCCCCGGAGGCAGGGCTGGCACTGCAGGCCGAGGGATTGAACCCGCAGCCCCTGTGCCTGCTTGCAGGAGTTTTACCCCACTGAGCTATTTGGCCGGCCCTGGAAAACAAGTTTCAAATGAATGTTTTCTCTGAATTTATATGGGGCTGAAATTAGTCATATAAAGGAGAGGGTTCCAATCCCTTGCTGTCCTGTTAAATAGATTGATAAAATGTTCTGTGTCACTCATAAAAGCATCTTTTCTCTTATAGGTTATCAGGAGAAATGGCCAGTGCTCTCTCACCAGGTTTCTATATTGGAGAACTTAATAAATACCAGCAGAAGTACAGAGTAAAAGTTTCCTATCAGCAACTGTCTGTGACAGGACCGCCACACAACTCATTGTAAATTGATATCAAAGCATAAAACTCAGGGGCTGGGGTTATAGCTCAATGATAGCGTGGGTGCTTAGCAACTGTGAGGCCTTGGATTCAATTCCCAGTACCAAGGGGGAAAAAAAAGCTGTATTCTATGAGTATAAACCCGGGCACTGACAACTCTGGCACAGTGTTGAGGGCAACCCTTCAGCCCTATTGCAAAGTTGTCAGAATGCTGTGAATATCCTCTTGATAGAGTGTGCTCTCCTCAGCTGATCCCAATGAAAGAGCGAGGGAGGGGGACGGGCACCAGCTCCCATGTCCGAGAGATGGGCCATTTTGCTACTTAGGGTGTAGTTTAAATTCTATACTGAACATAGGTTAGAAGTTTTCAAGGTGATTGTGAGAGACAGTGGTGCCCGGAGGCGTGTGCTTGTCTAATTTACGAGCTGTGTAATGACTGTGTATCTTGTCTTTGTAATCAGGTTTACAATTCAAGTTATTATAGATGGAAGAACATTTCCAGAAGGGGAAGGGAGAACAAAGCAGGAAGCAAAAAATGCCGCTGCCAAAATAGCTTTTGATACACTTAACCAAGAAAAAAAGGTAAGTTTTTTTTTTTGTTTTTAATTAAAGGGGAACTCACAAATAGTTTGAATTTTTCTTTTCTCTTTGTATTTTTTTAGGGAAGGGTCTACAGGGTGTTCAGGGTCTCACTACTAAATCAGACTTGTAGTGATCCGCCTGTTTACAGCCTCCCAAGAGCTGGGATTACGGGCGCGTGCCACCACACCCAGTCTCAATTGCTGTCTCAGTGTGCCCTGAAGGTGGAGCTGGCAAGGCAGGCCCCAGGGGGTGAACCCCCAGCCCCTGAGGCTGCTTGCAGGCACTTTAATCCACTGAACTATTTGGCCAGCCTTAGTTTGAATTTTTCTGTGAAAAAAATATTCACATATACAGTAAAGCCACTTGGAAATTCTTTTACATCAAGAAGTATAGTTCACTCTTTTTTCTCTGTCTCTATTTCAGTGAAGTCCTCAGAAACAGTGAGCAAAACTGAGGCACACCACTTTAGAGTGCAGCAGCAGTTCGGTATTCTAAAGTTGACCGAATGTGGTGAGGGAGAAATGTTCAATACAAAGTGACCTTACACATCTGGGAAGGGCCCCCTCTACCTGATTGAAAAAGATGAATGGAAACAGAAATAGCGACACATGTGCTTTTAGGGGGAATGACCTGCAGAAAGGCAACTAATGAAGAAATGCTTTAAATATAATCAGTTTCCTATGAACCCAATGAATAGTACAGGAAAAAAGCTATCTGGGCAGCGGGTATATAGCGCAGTCGTAGACTATGTGCTCAGTGTGGGGGAAACCTTGGGCTTGCTTCTCAGTGCTAAGCAAACAAACAAAGCTATCTAAACAAATTTCTGTTGAAAATGTGAATGAATTAAACACCCAACTGAAAATTAAACTAACTCACTAGATAGAGGAAAATGCCAAGCCCCAAGAATAATACTGATCTTTGTGAAAATGTTGATCCCCAGGGAGAAAGGAAGATTCTATAAAGATCTAAATGGAAAAAAAAAAAAAATGTAAAAATGATAAAAGAGTCACACTGCCTATTGCAATATTAAAAGACAGGAGATGGCAAAGCAATGGTCATAAAGTATGACTGAACATCACTTAGATCTGAGGCTACAGGTCATTCTCAGATACTAAAGAAATTGGAAGAATTTAGCTATGAAGATACTTTCCTGAAAAATCTTAATTGAAGATGTCATCTTTCTAGTAAAAATTAAAAACCATCAAAATCACTTCCAAGTTATTAATGTTAAGAAACTACAGTCAAAAAGTTAGAAAAAGCAATAAAACACCTGCTTCAAGAAGCTGAAGAAAGACAGTAATAACAGGGCTGGCCAGATAGCTCAGTGGGTTAAAGCACCTCCATAGGCAGATGCAGGGACTGGGGTTCAATCCCCGCCATGCAGTACAGGTCCTGTCCCTGGGACACACTGAGACAGCGATTGAGACTGGACATGGTGGCCCGTGCCTGTAGTCCTAGCACTTTGGAGGCTGAAAAACAGGCGGATCACCATGAGTCTGATCTGTGTGGTGAGACCCTATAAACCCTGTACAAAAACACATTTAATGAAAAGACAGTAATAATGATGGCAGAAATGATGACAAAGAAAACAAAAAAAAGTGATGACATCCATAAAACCAAAAGCTAGATTCGATCCAGAGCGCAGGGCCAGCATGGGAGTGAGATGACCCACGGCCCGCCAGTCCTCATTCGACCCAGAGCCCTGGCCCAGCATGGATCCTGCAAGAGGCTAAAGGCAAGACCCAACCAGCTGATTCGGGAGCAGAACATCTTGCCAGAGTGGCAGAAAGGGTTCAGCTCCAAGGGCTGCAGCAGGAAGAAATGGAGCACAGCAATAGATCCAAGCCACACCCACCTGGATGAGTTTGAACTTGTTATATCCGGACCTAGTGCTAAGGTAATAACTCTATCTAAGCTCTACACCAAAGGTCAGAAGACAGCGCTGTAAAAAATGACAAAGAGAAGGAACAAAATGCAGTCTCAGGCCCCGAGCCCACCCAGAACAAATGCAGAAGACACTAGCATAGAAGAAATTGGAAATCACTTACGTGAAATCTCTGAAATAATAGCGTCTGAAGTAAGGAAACAACTGCAGAAAGGTATAGAGGAAATCAGATCAGAAATAATTTCTGAAGTAAAAAAAGAAATAGCTATAATGAAAGAAGTACTAAGTGCTTCTAAAGAAGACACTGATAAAAATGAATAGAGCAGAATGTAAAAATGATGGAATCCTTGAATAAGCAATAAAGGAAAGAAATAGAATGCATGAAGCAGATTCAGAGTGATATACAAGAATTTAAAACCTAAATCACAAGCTGGCAAAACCATTTGAATGAAAGTGAGAATAGACTTTCAGACCTTAAAGACACCATTGCAGTTAATGAAAAAGTAAGAAAAGATCTCTTAAAAACAACTAGGATGCAGGATGTTCAGCATAGGAACAGTATACTAAAAACCGCTAAAGAAAAGAAACCGATGACATTTAAAGGAAAACCCATCAGGATAATGGCAGGTTTCTCTGCACAAACCATTAAGGCAAGAATAGCATGAAACAAAGTATTTCAAATCTTGCAAGAAAACAAATTGCATCCCAGACTGATATATCCTGCAAAACTCTCTTTCAAGTATAATGAAGTGAAATACTTCATGACAAAGAACAACTAAAGAATTTCATGATGACAAAGCCAAACCTACACAGACTACTAAAAAATATTCTAGAGAAGGAGCAAAATGACTACTACTCCATGAATGAGAATTTAAAGAAACCACCAAATAGGGCAAATTATGTTCTTAGTTGTTTCTTATATGCTACGTCTGGAGGTATTAGAATATTTCAAGTTTGCGTAACTGGAAAATATTTTACTTTTAGTTTTCAAAGGTGTGTTTGCTAAGTATAAAATTCAAAGAGGACAGATCTGGTTTTTTTCCTTTCTTTCAGTCCTTTAATTAGTCTAGTTTCTTACACACTTGATCTTTTTTTTTTTTTCTTTCTAATATGGAATAAGATGCTATTTAGTTTTGTTCTTCCATAGCTAATTTTTTTATGTATATGCTTCAATGATTTTTTTCTTTACAATAAGTTTTGGACAATTTCATTTTTGTGTATCTGGGTATGATTTTATTCAAATTTCTTGTGCAAAAGTTTCATTTTTCTTGGAAATGTGGTGTTATAATTTCAACTAAATTCAGTAATTTTGAGTCTTTAAATATTTATTGCCTACCTCTTTCAACTTTGAGAATTCTAGTTATATGAATATAAGTTTCTTGATTTTG